ATATACGTCATTATGACATGTCACACCACATCTTCGTTTTTGAATATATCACATTTCAAATTTTTGAGGGCTTTCATGGGCTATACAATCTCAAGTTATACAGATTTAGTTCACGATAAAACTGTAAGGCGGCACTGCTGTTTATATATATATATAATATATATATATATATATATATATATATATATAAGAGGTGTACATAAATTCCGAATGATGCGAGCCAAAGTATTTGGCCTGTTAAGCGAAGCCCACTCATTTGGCAACAATGGGAAAATGTAATTTCGTGAACTAGTAATTTATTTCTACAATAACAGTGAGAATTTAAGGCATTGTAGATTAAAACTTTGCCCTATCTTCTATAATATGGTATTTATAATTTAATTTATGCAAAATTATATGAAATACCAACATATTGGGTAAAATATTTGTTATGTGTAGAAAGATAATTGGAATTTTTTAAAAACACCTTGTATTCTATAAGCACTTTCTTTCTTTTTTCTCCCCTTCATTTTATCCTATCAGGGTGTCGGATTTGAGCTAGCTATTTTAATTTCCATTTACCCACCTCTTCCATTCTTTTCTGTTTCCTGCCATTATTTTCAATTCCTCGAGTGATTTTTGTTTAAGTTTTCCCGCCTCTACTACTTGCTGTATCCATTTTTTTTCTTGGTCTGCCTCTTTTTCTTTTTCCGATGTTCTTTGCTTCATAAACTTTTCTTGTTATTCTATTGGATTGCATCCTCATCAGATGCCCATACCAGTTCATTTGTCTCTTTGCTATTTTGTTCATTATCGGTTCCGGTTGGCCATTCTCCTAATAGTCTCGTTGCTGCAGCTAATTTTCTAATTACGTGGTATCCTGCCATCCATTTATTTGCCGAACCAGGATTCGCAAACATGTATGGATTAGAATTGGGTACAACATTTGCTTGCTCTCTAATTTTCAACATTAATTTTATGAATTTTTGAATTTGGGGAGAAAATAAAATTGCTATACATTTAGAACCCTTGCCTTCAGTAACTACCCTTTTGAATCGTTGACTTAATACTTTTTCAACAGTTGTTAGTGATTCAAGAAAAGCATTTTCATTTATAATATCGAGAATTCTGTTGTAAGTGGATATTTTGAGATATTGTACATCGCCAATACGTTTTCTATTAAATGCAACAGTTAGTGCTAAAACGCACTCTGTTAATATCTTATAATTTACGTTAATGTTGATGTTATCTAACAGTTCATTATATGCAGCATTTGCCAAACTATGTACGTAAGTTTGAAATGCTTGTATGTCTTCACTTAATGGAAGAGTTGTAGGTTTTTCCCATTGGCGTTCATTTAACACCTTTAAAGCTATGCTTGAAACTTCACTACACCAATGACCCTGAATTAATTTTCTAAGATCTTTTATTTCTTCTTTTTTTTCTATTTCCTATCTTCCCATGTAATATTAGGTAATTGTTTCTTCTCAATTACTAGTTTTAGGGCAATATTACACATTATTTTTAAATTGGTACCCTATATGTAATGCTAATGACGGAGCTTTGTAGCACTTCTCCACAGGATCATAGGAACTTATTTCCTTAGTTGCAGTTATAAGATTTTGGAAACATTCTGGTTTCATTGCACTAAAAAGTCCTACAATTGATATATCGATAGTTTTAAGAGCTATTAAAAGTCTTCCCATGTCCCTCATTTTATTAGATATGTGTGTAGAGATTTGTTGTCTTTTGTGTTTGTTCAAAAGGTGTTCACCATATAAACAAATAAGTGTGTCGCTTTTTGCAACTAAACTTATATTATCTGCTCGTATAATGGTAAATACTTCTTCTTTTAGCCGTGCTGCTTTCAAAAAATCTTGATTTTTAGAAATCATCGACACCAAAAAATCTTGGCTTTTAGTTAAACATCTTTTCCCAGGATTTGTTTCACCGATTGGTTTTTGTTTGCAAACTTTCACATGTTTATATAAAAGCGTTTTTAGTAATGCCCTAGGCAATATGTGCATGCAAAAAATTCCGTTTCGGGGTTTCTGGAAATTCTTACAGGATTTGTTAAATTTTTTTCAGTTTTCAAATGAAAGTATGCTTGTTTTCTCAAAGCAGACACCATAGACAATCGTTCTATGCTTCTCGATGGCAGATTTTTAATTTAAATCACTTGTTGATTATTAGTGTGGATGTTGTCTGTCGCCCATCGGACGCGTCCTCAGGCGGTGGATAGGGGAACGCCATAACCAGTCCTAGGACTGGCGGGTAGGTAAGAAATAAAATACCACCTCTGAACCAAAACAGACTGGTATGGCAACCCAACAGAGTCGCTGGCCCTCCAGGTTGGGGGTTAGGCTAGAGGCTAACAACCTCTTCCTGTAAAAATCATATGTTACGGAACCTCAAGAACTATTAGCCGGACGGAACTTACGACGACGACTCTGCAAACGAAAAATGGAATTAAGATTAGAAACATGGAACACCCGAACCCTGTACCGAGCTGGAGCACTCGCATCTCTACTAGACATAGTGAACATGTACAGAGTAGATGTTTTGGCACTGCAGGAAATGCGATGGACGGGAACAGGCATTCTTGACAAGAGAACCCACTCCATATATTACAGCTGCAATGAAAACCAACACATAGATGGAGTGGGATTTATAGTAAACCAAAGAACAAAAGGCCTAGTTATTGATTTTAAAGCCTACAGTCAAAGAATGTGCTATTTACGCTTAAAAGGTAAATTCTTTAATTACAGTTTAATTAATGCACATGCCCCGACCGACGACAAACTAGAAGACGTTAAAGAACAGTTTTTCGAAGACCTAGAACAAGCCTATAGAAGATGCCCCAAAAATGACATCAAGATAGTTCTAGGTGACATGATATCAAGAATAGGACGAGATCGAGATTTTATGCCGACATAGCCTACACAACATCAGTAGCGATAACGGATTACGACTGATAAACTTAGCAGCAGCACTGAACATGACCGTCGCTAGCACCTATTTTGAACATAAGAATATACACAAGGTAACCTGGACCTCCCCTGATGGAAGAACAACTAGTCAGATTAATCACATCTTAATAGATTCAAGACACGGAACGGACATAATGAACTGCAGAAGTTATAGAGGCGCAAACATAGACTCAGACCACTGTTTAGTGATCTCAACACTAAGGGCTAGAATTTCAAATTCCAACAAAGAAAAAAAATAGATACAAAGAAATGGAATGTACAGAAGCTGAGAGATGCAACTGCTGCAAAACAGTACTGGGAAAATATTACCAATAGGTTAAGAAATCAAAGTCCAAGCGAAGAAGACCAGAGAGATATAGACTCCTACTGGAACACGATAAAGGAAGATGTTGAGTCTGCAGCACAAGATGAAATAGGAACAGAAACTTGTACCCGAAAAAATTACTGGTTTGACGATGAATGCAAAGACGCAACACAAAAAAAAATTAAGCTTATGCAAAAATGCTTACCCGCCGGACTAGAACAAGTGTAGAGAATTACCAGACCAAGAGAAGAGAAGAAAAGAAAATACACAGAATGAAGAAACGAAACCACTTAAAAAAGGAACTTCAATATATAGAAAACCTCAACAGAGAGAAAGAATTCAGAACATTCTATAAGAAAGTTAACATCAACAGAAAAGAATTCAAGGCAAACACAAATCAATGTAGAAGTTTGAATGGCGATCTATTAACAACAAGAACAGACGTACTAAATCGATGGACGGAATATTTTAACCAGATACTTAATATAAAGAAAGAAGAAGAAAACCCGTAAGACGAAAGCTGTGAGGTAATCGAAGCAGACGAGAGGGAGGAGAATCCACCAACGATCCTTGAAGTTAAAGACGCTGTAAACAAACTAGCCAGAAACAAATCACCCGAAATAGATAATCTCTCAGCGGAATTATATAAGGAAGGTGGTCACGATATCATAATAGCGGTACAACAGCTTATAAAAGAAATATGGATACAGAAGTCCCACTAACCCTTAAAAAAGTTGAATGCAGAGTACGAATCCAGGGGGAACTCTTTGAATCTTTTAATACAAATAACGGCTACGTCAGGGAGACCCACTCTCCTGTATACTATTTAATCTAGCTCTGGAAAAAGTAATACGTACGTCACAAATCACAACTACCGGTTCAATATATAACAAATCTGTACAAATCCTAGCATATGCTGATGATATCAATATTGTTGGGAGAACGGAAAACGCAGAACGAGAGGCGTATGTAGCACTAAAGGAAGCGGCTATACAAAAATGGGTATTATAATAAACATTAATAAAACGAAATACATGAAAATAGGTCCGCAACCACAAATACGACGGCCACTTGTTATAGAAAACGACGTCATCAAAGCAGTTAACGAATTTGTATACCTGGGAATGCTCGTCAAGAAGATAAACGCAGAATTGCACTAAGATCTATTTTGGGCTTAATCTCCTTTTTAAATCTACAGTTATATCAAGAAATACAAAAGTAAAACTCTACAAAACAATAATACGCACAGTCCTAACATATGGTTCAGAAACCTGGCCTTTAACAAAAAGCAATGAAAACATGTTAGGATGTTTCGAAAGAAAAATACTGAGGCGAATCTATGGAGCAGTAAATGAAAATGGTGTCTGGAGAAGACGATACAACTTCGAACTCTATAGAATATACCAAGAACCAGATATCGTAAAACACATTAAGATAGGACGTCTGAGGTGGGTAGGCCATGTATAATGCGGATGGAGCAAACCGACCCAGCTAGAAAAACGCTTCTTGATAGACCTATTGGCCAAAGAAGAATAGGAAGACCCAGAACAAGATTCCTAGATAACATAGACCAAGATATGAGAAATATGGCTAGGACCTACACAGGGTTGTAAAGCCAAAATGATGATGATGCTGATTATTAGAGTGATGTCTGAACAAATGTCTGGTAAAATGTGTAATTACATCACCAAAACAAATAGGACAAATTGTTGGTCTTTCTCTGGCAGATGACTTCCTCTTGTACTCGTAATAATTATGAATGTAATTCTGAAAATAGGTTAGAGTTAAGTCAGTGTGTTTTTCTATAGGGAGTCAGATGACACTACACATTTCTAGTCCTACTATATTAAGTACGTTTAATAGCTAACAACTATTAAATTTTAACAATTATTACTGACTTATTTCTAATTTTTAAGTTTGTGCAAGGGCGAACAAATATTGATATTTTCAGTTAACAAATATTAACAAGACCAATTATTTTACTTCCTTTTTATCTATAGTATCAGAAAATAGTTTGGATCCATAGCTTTTTGCTTGGTAATGAAGCATAAGCAAGGGAGAAAAATAATGATGAAAAATTGTTGTTGAAAACTTGAAACTACACACTACACATTACATAAAGATCAATGTGTTCCACAAAAAATGTCTTACTAAGCAAATAACAATAATAACCCTATTTAATAATTGGCAACATCGCCGAGCTGCGAAAAAGCATGTGGGCATAATGATTAGTATATAGACGGGATTCGAAAAATCCATCATATATTTGAGGATTCCTTTAATACGTATGTTATATTATTTAGTATATACGAAAAATACCTCCCTTTTTACGTTGAAGTGCCGGGCCACCACTAATCTGTATAATATACCGAGGTGGGCATCATCTGCAATAGCTATATATATATATATATATATATATATATATATATATATATATATATATATATATATATATATATATTTAATTTAACCGTTAATTGTGGCTTATTTCGATTTAAATAGTAATTCTTTATGTAATTTATTCCATTTTTGACCGTTTACGATAAAATCAATCGTTGACCAGTCGCTGTGGAATTTCTATTACTAGAGTCTGTTTCTCCTATGCCATGAAATTTTAAGGTTTCGCAATAAATATAAAACATTTAAAATATGCTCAAAAACGATGAATATAAAGTTTAACACTACAAAATAATCTCATGTCACGGGAAATGTTTCCGCGAAGGATAACATTTGTAATTAATGGATTCGACCGTTACTTGATGGAAATTCATTTTATGTAACAATAAAACACTGAAAACTTTGTTTTCAAACTTCCACAAAATTTATTTTAAATATTATCACTACAGCTGTTTCGGCTGATTGCCTTTCTCAAGTGATCTATTTTGGCTTGGGTTTACAAATTTATAGTCTCTAATGAAATAGGTTGAGGAGGGGAGAACTGTTTGTCTCAAGTTGGTCATTCAGAATTATATCTGTGTTTTTTAATTTGTTGATTTCCATAGATTCTAACAAAGATAGCTTAAGGCCTTTATTTTGAATGTGAAGAATTTTAAATTTGTCATTAAAAGAATGATTATGATCTAGAAGGTGAAGTGCGTATGTCGAATCTGTTTTTCTATTCTTGAAAGCCCTTTTATGTTCTGCTATTCGTTTATCAAAGTTTCTACCAGTTTGACCGATGTAAGTTTTTGGGCAGTCGCCACATTCAAGTTTGTACACACCACTATTTAAGTGTTTTTTATTTTGGCTCTTGTTATTTTAATATATTGCCTAGTTGTTATTGTTATTAAAAATAACAAGAGCCAAAATAAAAAACACTTAAATAGTGGTGTGTACAAACTTGAATGTGGCGACTGCCCAAAAACTTACATCGGTCAAACTGGTAGAAACTTTGATAAACGAATAGCAGAACATAAAAGGGCTTTCAAGAATAGAAAAACAGATTCGACATACGCACTTCACCTTCTAGATCATAATCATTCTTTTAATGACAAATTTAAAATTCTTCACATTCAAAATAAAGGCCTTAAGCTATCTTTGTTAGAATCTATGGAAATCAACAAATTAAAAAACACAGATATAATTCTGAATGACCAACTTGAGACAAACAGTTCTCCCCTCCTCAACCTATTTCATTAGAGACTATAAATTTGTAAACCCAAGCCAAAATAGATCACTTGAGAAAGGCAATCAGCCGAAACAGCTGTAGTGATAATATTTAAAATAAATTTTGTGGAAGTTTGAAAACAAAGTTTTCAGTGTTTTATTGTTACATAACATTTGTAGCTGAAGTTGTGCACTCTCGAAAAACGCACTTATTCTATTAAAATAAAGCAGTTTTAAACGTTTGAGATCGCTTTACATTTATTAAATTATTTATTTTGACATTTTTTTGTAAAATGAAGATTTTTTAGGATGTAGAGATCGCGCCATAAGAAAGATTATTTTAATGCTCACAAATTACGTCTTGTACATATAAAAATATTTAGCAACTTACACCTTACTACCTACATGAACGAATTTGCTAATCTAATTGTTTGTTTTAGAAATCAACAGTACACAGCATGTGCTGCAGCAAATAATCTAAAACCTCGTGCTGCTACTACAGGAAGCATTGACGCTCTTCAATTGCAGCCTAAATATCTTCCAACTTTTGACAGAGAGTACAGATCTGAACCCCGCGATTTACCAAAAAGCGAAGAACACCTTAATGTTTTAAAATCACAACAGTTTCCTTCCAGTTATTTTTCAGGAAAAAGTCCATCGAATCTGACCGAGACAGGAATTACCCTAGCAAGCGTTCCTGCAATGGCTATCGGAAGTTCAACGGAGGTGCTTGTAAGCATTGTAGAAAGTCAAGTTAATATAAGAAGAAATTCTGTTATGACAGATTCAACTCCTAAAGTAGAATCCGAGAAGTATTCCCCAGATTTTGAAAATGTCAAGTCTCCTAGTACGGAATTTACTACGTCCACAGTACAATCCTCACCGATGGAGGATACGAAAATCAGAGAGCACAGAGATGGTGTTAAATATTGTGATAAGTACGATGTAGATGATATTGAATCCTATACTGTGTGAATTGCTTTTTTTTCTATGATTTTGTAAGCAGTTGGGATAGGGTTTGTTTAATGATGTATTATGATCGATATTGTAATTTTAAAATATTGGTTTTATAAAATCTTTTAAGGTTGAGTTAAATAGACGTTTAAACTTAATTTACTATGTCACGTCCCGTGTTCTAAAACGAAACTTTATTTGTAACAGGCGATAGATTTTTACTTACGTTTATTAAATTTTTAGTTGTTTAAATTCTGCTATCACTGATTTTAATAATAATGCTCGTTTAATGGTTTGTAAAAGTAATGTTTTCATTAAAATTTATTTTGCTTTATGCCTTACGTACATTTCTATATTATAAGATAATATTAACCTTCATAAACCCATGGTCAAGGACGTACAATAAATACCAGGTCAGGTGCTAATATACCCCAACAGTTTTGGTATTTTTTTATTATAAGTAAGCAATATAAAAAGGGAATACATTCTCATTATAAAAAACATTTATTTTTTATATGTTGTAAACACTAATACCGATTAGACACATTTAAAAAAAATAATAAATATTTAAAAAATCCAGATAAATAACTAAAACACAAAATACTATGCTGCGACATTTTAAATAATAATATAATTATCACACTTGTTACAAACAGTTATTTTTTTGAATGTTCTGCACATTCCCATTGTCTGTCTGGCAATAACTGGTACAAGTTGTTTAGAACTTACGTTTAATTCTAAAATGATTTAAATGAATTGGTTTATATTGGAATGTCATTTTTCCTAATTAATTTTTTAATCTGGATTTTTTTAACATTCAAACTTTATAAACGTTGATGCCAAGAATGCGCATCAGATGAAAAAATAATGCCATCGGACACCAATTATTTTTTCTTTGAGTCGTAAACTCTTTAGTGTTCTTGTCTTGTTTTCTTCTATTTATTTTGTATTTATTTACTTATTTTGTCATCGCAATGTTCTGTCGATAAAAGAATAACTTCCGCATTTTTTTAGGACATAAGGATTTCAGGTTTTAGTTTCCATAAAATTAAACATGCTCCGTTTTCCTTATATTTTGCTCCAAGCAGTTCTTTTGCAATATGAGATTTATTGTTGCACAGTATACCACACAAATATATATTTTCATTTAAAAGCTTATTGACTAACTTAAAACTGGTAAAAAAAGTAATCAGTAGTTATTCCATATCCTACAGATAAATGGTTTACCAGGTCTCTCACTTCTCTTTGTCTTTGGCCTTTTTCAGGTTTGTACTTTTTTTGCCTAGAAGTATAAATTTTATAATATTGCATTTTTTGCATGAAATAGGGTAACGGGTATAGTTGTGGGCCGGTTACTAGTGATTGGCCACTTTCACAAAAATCCGAAATATGGATTAAGGTTTTCAGAAATTATAAGGAAATAAATTAAAATTTGGCAAAATTGCTGTATATTTACATTGCTTTCAGTTAATATTATTTAGTTGTTAAGGCGTGTATTGTTCGAAGCTTAACATATGCATCCAGTTTTCAAGAGTTTTTTAAAGAATTTGTTAGAGAAAGGCTATTCACGTGGTGAGTTATCTTAACTAATATTATTATGTATCTGGGTATGTTAATGTTTTTGGTGATTTAGTAGGGTATATCTTACATTATCAGTGGTTTTAATAGTAAGGTTATGAATTTTTGAAGGTATATTTAAATGGCCAAGCACTATATCTTAAATATGTTTGTATTATAATTATTGGCCTGCCGGCCAATTGCTGTACCTACTTTGAATTAAAATATTTTTTATAATTTAGGTTTTTCTGGCCTAGTTTAAATAGTCCTTGATAAGATATATCATGCATTTTTTCTTATTTTTTGGCAATAACCAGTGGTTAGCCGACTGCTAATCACTAAACCATAGGGTGGCCAACAATAATAAATAATGTGTAATAAGAATATATTTTTTGTCCGAATTCGTAGTTATAAAATTACAATTATTTTATTTGTTATAAAATTAGTGCTAGTGTGGGCATATTGAATCAAATTTCAAACGTTCCTACGCTAAAATTATTACGATTAAATGTTTTTTATTTTCAGAATCATCATCATCATTATGTCTTATTCACTCCTGGCGAAGTGTTTGCCGCCCTTTTGGGCTCCCTGATTCATTTATTGCGGAGAATCAGTCTGCTGTTGTTTTCTTATTATTATAGCAGCGTGTGTGACTTAGCGCTGTCTACGATTTTCCTTCATTTTTCCGGTCCTTACAGCGCTCCTTCCAATTGTAGATTCTCAGCTTCTTTATGTCTCCTAAGACTTGATCTCTCCATCTTGTTTTGGGTCTCCCCTTTGTTTTTTTTGTTGTTGGTCTCCATCCAGTTATTCGCTTTAGCGTAGAGTCTATATTAGCTCTTTCTGTGTGTCCCAGCCACCTGAGCCTTTGCGTCTTCACGAACTTGATTATGTCTTCACCCTCGTCAAATTGTCGATTGTTCGTCGAATTATCTTTCTTTCTAAGATTTACAACCTCATTTCATCTTTTTGTGTTAGGCACATCGTCTCTGCACCATAAGTAATAACTACCATCTTGTAAATTTTTAATTTCGCTTTCTTACTAATGTGCTTTTCTTTTAGGAATTTTTGGTAGTTCCAATAGGTTTTATTACCCAGTAGGATTCGTTCATTAATTTCATCCGTTCTATCATTTCTGTCACTCACCATCACTCCCAGGTATTTGAAACGGTGTACTCTTTCAAATGTATATGCACCAAGCTTAATTTCCTTCTCTATTTTCGTATTCTCTCTTGAATAATTGAGGTATTTCGTTTTGCTTTGGTTTACTACTAGCCCTCTCTTCTTTGCTTCTTTATCTAGTATTAATATTATGTTCTGCATGGTTTTTAAATCTTTAGTAACCAGTGCCATATCGTCTGCATACGCTATCAGTTGGGCTGAAGATTCGATAACCGTTCCCATAATTTTGGTTGCTCTTACTGCCCCTCTATGGCAATGTTAAATAGTGTTGTTGACAGGTAGTCTCCGTGTCTGACACCTACCTCCATTTGTACTTCATCTGACGGGCCTTCCCTTGTTAAGATTCGTGCCTTGGATTCCTTCATCGTCATTTTCGTGAGATTTATTAGTTTTTCTTGGATCCCTAATTTATTCATATCCTTAATTAGCTCCTCCCTTATTATACTGTTAAAAGCTTGCTTGTAGTAAATAAACAGTATATGTAGATCCATTCCGTGCTCGTAACTTTTTTCGACGATTTGCGTTACAATGTGTATTGCATCTATTGTTAAATTACCTTCTCTGAATCCATGTTGGTATTGACCTATTTTTGTTCTAGTTTCTTTTTCTATTCTTTGCCTGATCAAATGAGTTAATACTCTGTACACTGTATTTAATAACGTGATTCCCCTGTAGTTAGTGCATTTCGTCTTGTCGCCTTTTTTAGGGATTGGTGTTATCAGACCACAATTCCACTCGTTCGGCGTGCATTCTTCTTCCCATATTCGTTCTATTAGGTTGTGGATTCTGTGGGCTAGTTTGTCTCTCTCTTTCTTGAAGAACTCATTTATAATGTCATCTGGTCTTGCTGCTTTCCTTGTCTTTAATCTGTTTATGGTCGCCAATACTTCGCTGTATGAGGGAGGCTCTGATTGTTCTGTATTCCTATTTTCTATTTGTTCTTCATTTTCTGCGTTTTCAGCATCGTCTTTTTTTTAAACAGTTCTCTATTCGCTCCGTGCGTGACCATGGTAGGGGTACATTGAAACGACGCCAGCGTGCATAGCGGCGAAATATGACAAAATTGGAATATTGGACAAAATATTTTTACGCATAAATTTTATCAAAAATGTGTGCAAATACATGTTGCGTATTTAATTGTGCTAATATTAGCAAAAACAGTGAGTGCAGTTTTTATAGGTTCCCAAAGATTACATATAAATTAGAGAAAAGAAAAAGATAAATTCCTGCTATTAATATGAAAAAGTAAATATCACATAATTTCATTTTTACGCAATTGAAATAGGAAAAATTTAAATAATTTACCTTGAATAATATTTCATAAGGCTTCAAGCTAACTGCAGATGACTTTAGCTTTTATATCATACCTTTTACTATTATTGTTTTTAATTACATGCTCTTTCGCGTGAAAAACTTAATTTGTCAGTACTAGATTTTTCCCTTTCTCTTACGTTTGGAGTTGAAAAGATATATTATGATGAATTTTGAGAAACCCAGTTTTTAATACTACATTTATTTTGTACATAAACTGAAAAAATATAGTTAAAAAACTAATTTATTAATAATTGCCAATTTCGCATGTATTTAACAATGTCAAACATATGTCATATGTTTAACCTGAAAATTGGGACTCCAAAATTGTCAGAAAAAGGCGGTAGGTGTCGTGTCATTCACGCACGGAGCGAATAGTGTGTTTCCGATTCCATTTTCCAATATTTGCTGGTATCTCTTTTTTTCTCTGTGATTGTATGTATTTGTATAATCTTGCATTGTCAATACTATTGGCTTCGAGTTCCTGCAGTAATTCTTCGATCCATTTTGTTTTGCAGCATTTATCTGACCCTTTTTTCTTTTCTTTATAGTGTAGGATATCTTCTTGTTTTCCTGTGGCCACCCACCTGTGTCTTGCTTTGTCCTTGTCTTTACTAGCTTGCTCGCATTCTTCATCGTACCAATCCTTTCTTTTATTGTCTTCCATTAGTCCTATCTTAGTCCTATCGTCTCCTCTGATGTTGTTAAGATACTATCTTCTATGTCTTCGCATGATTTATTTATGTTCGATGGTTTAAGGACTAGTAGTTTTTCTTCCATTTTAGTGCAGAATTTTCTGTTTGCATTATCTGTATTTAGTTTCGACCGATTCCACCTCTTTCTTTTCTTTCTGTCGTTTTTATCTTTAAGTATCTTTAATTTCATGTCGCCTATCCGAATCAGCATTGGCTCCCCTGTAAGACCTTACATTCTGTAAAATTGTTCTCCATTTTTTTGAGATTAGGATGTGA